ATGGACTGGTTTTTTAAATAATCCATGGAAGGTTTGTCCTGTGGGATGAGGATTTTTACCCATGGAGTTTCTCCTGTGGTTTCACACACTGTTAAAGGCAGTAGATTCTCCTCGAGAGACACCTGCCTTACTCAAAGAGCAGAAATGCTCAACAATTCCCCATCTTCCTGCACTTTTCCCTCATTCAACTGATTGAAATATTCACAATTCCCACCTCCTTTGGAAAGAGGAGAATTCTAATGCAGACAGAGAGGTACTGATGTCCTGAAAATCCTTCCACATATTAAAGGTATAAGGAAAATCTGAGATATGTGATAGAAATTTCAGCATGGTGCCAGCTTCTAAACAGACAAGGCAATTAGTAACTAATGGGTTGTATCCATTCTAGTCTGTCTAAATTTCCTTCAGCAGCTCCAGGGTGGGCTGTGGAGAGGCTGGAAAGTGGCTGATTGCAAAATGGAATATCTGGGGAGATCAGATGGGAACGTGTGGGGAACTCACAAAGGATCAGTGGAACAGAGAATGCAAAAGGCAGAAAAGGAAGATGAGGGAGATAGGGCTGAGAGGAAAAACAGCCAGGAGGCAGATCTGTGGGAAGATCCTGGAAGGGATCAGTCAGGTAAGAAGCAGACAGAGGAAAAGATGAAGTGTTGGTCTGGAATGTGCAGAAAAGCAAAAAAAAAATACGGAGCACTTAGGATAATTAGCTTTTCTCTAAGTCTGTATAACTTTATCTGCCGTTCCTGTTTTCCTGAAGTTCTATCCAAGTGGGAGAGCTGAGGAGTTTGTTTGCTGGAGATTTTATTCCCCTCTTTAGGGGAGGGGAGTGATGTTTCTGGTAGATCTGCAGCTATAAAATATTGATGGGTGATTTGGCCAAAAAGAGCTGTGCCTAAATCCCCTGTGAGGTTGTCCTGCCCTGACCCTGCTGCCAGCCTGGGATAACTCCCTGTTGGTGTCTGCAGCCATGTCTTGCCCAATCTTGTTTTTAATGTCTCGGGAAATTGGGCTTTTATCACTTCCTTAGGCAAATTCCTTCACGGGATAACAAAGCTCACTTGGAATCAAGTGAGATTTCTGCTTTCTGCTCAGAGAGGAGCTTGGAAAACTTTTTCTGAATGGTTTATCTTATTATTCAGACTTCTTCTCCAAACACCTCCTTGTCCTTTTTGTTTTGGGTATCCCGCAGTGAGATCTGAATTGCAATCACATTGATTTTTCTATCAGGAAAAAACAAATTATTCCTGATTGTAACAATAAATAAATAATTGTATCAATTTGGTGTCGCATCAGAGTATAAAATGAACCCCTGGATGTGAAGACACTTGGAATTTTTTGGTTGCATGTTTTAATGGGACTTATTTTCCACCTTAAAAAGGGTGGGATTTCCATTTCTTCTCCAAAAGGTCCATCCCAGACCATGCTTCCACTGGAAGTGTCCATACATTCCTCGTGCTCCAGTCTGGCAAGCAGGATATCCTCATTTCTAGATTCATTTCGCTCTCTCCCTTTTTCTGCACAACAGATTTATTCCCCATTAACATTTTCAATTATTTCTGGGCTTGATGTCATCTCAGTTATCTTCTTTCTTTGACTTACAGTCTCCAGTTCATCCTACAAACGCAGCTTTTTGTAAACCTTACTGAAGTTTATTTAATCACAAAGGCTTTACAAGGCCTGACAAGTGTGAAATTCACTCCACACTTGTGCAATGCATCGATAAAATCAGACCTTGGCCAACTTCTCCGTGGGAAGTGTGTTTGAATTTTACTTTACTTGGCTTTTCACAGCCCGTTGTGACTTCTCATTAACTTAAACCCCTTGTTTCTTAATAGGTTGGAACAGATAATTATCTTGCCAGTGTTAGGAAGAGTCATCATTCATCTGGAATGATTCCATGGGATCATGGATGCAACCTTAACGGGATAATGGCTCTGTCTGCTGATCACACTTCTCAGGCTGACTCTTCTTCCAAACAAATCTGATTTGTTCAAGTTAAAGCTGGGCTTTAGGGAAGTTTTAAGAAGTAAGAATTGGTTTTTAAATTCTGCATTCAAAATTCAGTTGCAATATTGACAGGACAAGAAGAAATGGCCTCGAGCAGTGCCAGGGAAGGGTCAGGTTGGACACCAGGAGGAATTTCCTCATGGAAAGGGTGGAAAGGTCTTGGAAGGAGCTGGAGTCCCCATCCCTGGAGGTGTCCAAGGAACGAGGATGTCAGGGCTGGGGACAAGGTGGGGATCAGGCACAGCTTGGAACTGATGACCTGGGAGGGCTTTTCCAACCTCAGTAATCCTGTGATTCTGTGATATCAGGCAGATTTGTTTCTCCTGTTTTGAAGAGGTGGCAGCAAATGGGCAAGTCTGTTCCAGTGCCCCAAATGCTGGGAGCAAATCCCTGACTCATCCCTTCCCGGGGCTGGCTGGGAACTCACCTGGAATTATCCCAGAGCTTTTCCAAGGGGAGGTGGCACCACTTTCACTCTCATTCCCAGCAATCCTGAGTCATCACAAGTAGAAATGGAATTCAGGGATGTCTCCTGGACTTTTTTTCTGGGATGGTTTATTTTCCTGCATTGGAGTGGTTTGTTCCTACATGGTGTAACTGCTTTGTGAGTTCCCTTTGATGAAATAAAGTCACTATGGGCACGGTGATGCTTTGTTCTTCTTTGGAACTTTAATTGAGGAAAAATCAGAAAATCACCAGTCACCAGCCTGCAGAACTTCCAGAAACAGCAAAGTTTGCTCTTCCAATGTGGTTTCTCCTGTAGATGAGCTGATGGGTGTCTGCTCTGTGAGATTCATGTTTTCAAAGCCTGCTTAAGAAAACATCAATATGAACATTCTGGAGTTTTAAATAACAAAATGCTGTATGTGGTCATTGTGTTGTCAGCTCTGGAGTTTTAAATAACAAATGCTGCATGTGGTCATTGTGTTGTCAGTTCTGGAGTTTTAAATAACAAATGCTGCATGTGGTCATTGTGTTGTTAGTACTTCCTGTTTAATTTTGGTTAATGTGTGTTACCTGTTGGCAGAATACAATTGTTTCGTGGGCTCTTCATACTAAAATATTTCCAGGTGAGCCAAAGTAGCTACAGAAAATCCATTGTGGAGTGCCAAACGTGAGTGTGTGACTGAGGTAACACATTGTGGGTCTGAGCTGTGCCTGTGGAACCAGCAGCACCTCAGATCCCAGTCCTGGAGTCAGGAGCAGGGAGAGGAGGGGTAGGGAACCAAGCATCCCCACCTCTGCTACACCCTGACACCCACCAGCTCCTGGGCAGTGTTTGGCCACTGGTTGTTTGTCACCTACCCCCCATGACAGCAATCTTGGCACTGGATCTGCTTTTTTTTTCCCCTTAAACACCACAAGTTTAAGCCATGTGAGTTAAAATTTGGGTTAGACAAGGGTTATGTGTGTTAGCCAAGCTCAGCTGTTAATTAAAAGCAGAGGGTGAGGAGGGATGGACTCAGTGGGCCAAAATCTCAGCTGGTGCCACTTCCCCGTGCCCAGGGCCTGTGCCAGCAGTGGGTTCTGCCCTGGGGATGTGCTCGTGGGGAGTTGTGATCAGTCAGATTCCGTGTTTGCACTGGCAACACTTGGCACTGTTGGATGAGCAGTGCTGCCAGCGGGGATTTTAAGCCAGGCCTAACTTGTAAAGAGGGCACTGGCTGTGTCTGAGCCAAAGGGTTTGTGTGACCTGGTGTTTACAATTTCTTGTGGTTTTTAATGAAATACAAGAGTTGCCAACACATCAAATAAAGGCAGGACATTTTTGCATATCCTTGCATGCCGTGTTTTATTAGTGAAATCTGGGAATAAGCTGAAGGATGGTGTCAAAGCGAAACGAATGCACTTCAGAACATTCCTGTTCTCTAACTCACAGCCTTCCCTGTGCACCTCTGAGATCACCCAGCACTGGGGGTTCCTCCAGGGTGCAGGATTGGGCTGTGGGTTGTTCATTTTCAGTGCATTTTTCCAGGACTGGCACCCCGAGCACTGCTTGGTTTTATTTCACATTCCCTCTCCACACTCACCGCCGCCCAACATCGCTCTCCTCCTTCTCCAGGGTTCTCAGGGTTCACAGGGAATCAGGAGATGCTCTGCTTTCCCATGCCATGGAATATGTGTGTGCACACCTCTTCTTCCCACCCTCCCACCATCACTCACTAAAACTCATATAAAACCTATTTATCCCTGTGGGATATAAAACCTGTTTATCCCTGTGGGATATAAAACAAATTTATCTCTGTGGGATGACCCCAGAAGCCTTCCCTGATGCCTGAGCAGCTTCACAGGCTGCATGTGGCTCTGCTGTTGTAGGGACACAGTAAATCCTGGATGCTGGATGAAGTTTGGGTAACAGGGAATGTTCTGCTATGACCTAGAGCTGGCTCAACACCACCCTCCCTGTGATTTGCTGTTTCATGATAGATAAAAATATAAGTACAGACTAAAATCTCCATTCAGCTTTTTTCTGAAGAGTAAAGAATTCTGCCAGCAATGAGCAGGAGCTGCTGGGGTTCAGCTCAGTCCTTCCAGCCCTGTTTCCAGGAGTTTTCACACAAGGAGCCCTGTTACCTGCACTGCACAAACCACATCCCTCCTCGTGCACATGGGTTTTTCAGAACTCAAATATCTTGTAAATATTAATAGACAACACCTTCAGCAGCCTCTCAGCACCGTGTTTCCCTCAGCTCTACCACTGCAGAGTCATTCTCCTTCTCTAAAACCCATAGAGAGATTTTAGGGTGGGTCAAATCCATGCCAAAGATCAGTTGCTTAATTAGCACGAGGCCTCGTTATGAACAGCATTGCAAAACAAACTCCAGCCCTGGCCCGCTGCCTTTTCCCCCTTGGCTGCTTCTGCTGCCCAGATGGCTCAGCCTGCCAGCACAGAGCATCAAATCACTTTATTCCTGTGACAGCAACTTGATTCCTGATGATATAGAATCCATATTTTAACAGCATCTTGTGGTTTTTTTCTTTTCCCCTTCCAGGAGTGAATTCCTCGGTTGTTGCTGATTTCATGCCCACATCGTCATGGAACATCTCAAGTGAATTAGATAAAGGTAAGCAGGCAGAAAAAAAACCCCAAAACCACCTGAAATCACATTTTAAAATCTCCATTTTTCTCAACTTGACCAAATCAGCAAACAAAGGGGATCAGGGGGTGTTCAAGATAAACCTCATTCACCTCAGGAGCTTTTGACATTTAATTCCATCCTGTGATTTCTGGAGATTGCTGTGTTCATTTCTTGTACCAGGAAAATGTTCCACGTGGCAAAAATATTTCAAGATGTTCTGTGACACGTTTTTTTCTGGTGGATCTTGGGATTTGAACTCCAAATTCACAAGCATCAGGCACTCAGTTTGCTCTGATGTGTTTTATAATGAAATTTTGAGGCTTTAATAATAACTACAGGTGGCAGTTAGGTGTAATTTGGAGCTCTCCAAGGGGTACATATTGTAAGAAAAAGAGAGATTTATAATTCTCCTTCATTTTTTAAATTAATTTAAGGCAAATTGCTGAGATTCCCTCATTGCAAGGCAGTGGCTGCAGCTCCTGAGTCAAACCTCTGCATCTTTGAGGATGCTCTTAGCCACCCTCACTGTGCAATTCCTGCATCACTTTTCATTTGCCAACCATTTACTGTTGAGATGGAAATTTCCCATAGTGGAATTCTACCCCAGATGGTTTTCCCAACTGGTTTTGTCTGTGTTTTGTTAATGTTTTCTTGAACATGTGTTCATAATGTTTGATGTTTATGCATAAATATGTTTTCTGTGCTTAAAGGATGAGGAGAATATGTAATTCTGGGTACTTTAGGATGATTTTTTCACATCTGCCTTCCCAGCAGGGAAAGGAGCAGGACTTTCTGGTGACCCAGGACACAGTGGAGAAGATGAAAGTCAAAGGGCTGGTGCTTGTTGGTGGGAAAGGGAGAGAAGCTTGTGGTCATTCAGCAGAGAATTCCAAAATCCCAGCAAACTGCTGAGGGAAGGTGTTGACAGAATGGATTTCTTATCCCACCTGCCCATGGCAGGTCTGGGCTGTGCTCAGGGAACATCCCAAAGCTGGGGACAAGTGAAGGTGGTGCTGCCCTCGGGCAGGATCGTGGAATCTCAGAATGGTTTGGGTTGGGAGGGACCTTAAAGCCCATCCAGTGCCACCCCAGGGACAGCTGCCACTGTCCCAGGGTGATCCAAACCCATCCAGCCTGGCCTTGGACGCTTCCAGGGATCCAGGGGCAGCCCCAGCTGCTCTGGGCACCCTGTGCCAGGACATCTCCACCCTCCCAGGGAAGGATTTCCTCCTGATATCCCATCTAAACCTGCTCTCTTTCCATGTTTCTTCCTTGTTTGGCAGTTTTCTTTGGTTCTTCAGAAAGCAGGAAATAATCAAATGACCTAGAAAATCAAAGTAAAGGCCACAAATCCACTCAAAAGTTCAGAAATGCCAGAGAAAGCAAAACTTTGGAGAGTCCAAGCAGAGCTGCCACTCTGTGCTTGAACCATCTCCCACATTCCCTCCATGGCACCTGTTCCCGAGCTGGAGATATTGTCAGAAACAGGTAAAATGAAGTTTTTAATCCACCTGGAATGCGGCAATTAGCAGCGCTTGGGCAGGATCCCGCATTCCTGGGGGATTACCGGGCCCCTTTGCTGGAGCTCATTAACATTTCCAGTGCTGGCAGCTCCCACACCTAAACACGGATTTACATACGGGATTAGGACCTGTTTGTGCCCCAAAAGCTTCGTCAGAGGGGCGGCTCCTGCCAGCAAAGGCTCGCAGGTTTTGGCTTGTCCAAGGCACCAACAGGAGCTTTCATGTGGGAGCTGCTCCTTCTCCTCAAAGCCTTGGAAATTCCAGCTTGGATCAAGCACACGCTGAGCTGGGCAGTGGAAACCTCAGAGGAGAAAATGAGGCTGGCTTCCCATTTGTTTTGTGTCTCAAAGAGTCGACATCCACTTGTCTTCCAGGAGGTCACGCCGGCGTCCCAGTAAAACTCATTTTAGAGCCTGTTGAGTTCACCACATGAAAGCCGTTTCCAACCAGGTTTCCCAATTAATCTAAGTGGTTCCAACTCTACCTGCTGCCTTTTGGAAATGAGCATCTCCTCCTCCGGCGTGTGCTGGAGTTGGGGAAGGAGGAACAGCTTGATAATAATATTCTGCATTTTAAAATAATGACTTAATCTGGTGCTTTTCCTCACCGGGTGAGTTCTGCGGTGATTATCTTACAACTGAGCCCTATTCAGGTTTCAATTTCTATTAAATAAGCTAAATCGACAGCATTAAACAGTTGCCTGTTTATTCTTTTTACCAGGAAATGAATTTAAAAGAGACGCAGCCACCCGTGAAGAGCTGTTGAAAGCAGCGATTGATGGGAGGGAGGAGGTGGTTTCTCACCAAAACCTTAAAAAAACAAACAAACTGGGTATAGAAAATAAAAAATAATCACTTTTAAAACGGGGGAGATTTAGCTCTGAGCATTTCTCTCTCTTTCCCTGCTGGTAAACCGTGGTGTGTAGAGGGAATGCCACGAGGGAGACAGAGAAATGAAAATATGACCTTAGAAATATTGAATTCTGTAAGGAGAAATAAGTGAAGCTGGGGGGAAAAGGGGGCTCTGGTGGTAGAAAAGCCCCATTCCAGGGGGCTGGTGGCAGATGTGAAACTTTCCACTCCCAAGTTTTTGGTTGGGATTCCCTTTGGCAGCCTGGAGCAGCCCCAGGTGGGAGATCTCTCGTGGGGACCATTGCTGCAAGAGGCTGGGAGAAACCTCATCCCCGTGTGCTCCTACACAGCCCCGTGGCACGGGGATTTATTTCTCCTTGGATTTCTCCTTCCCTGCACGCTGCCTCCCCTCCTGTCCCCTCACAGCTCCAGCTCTTTGTTTGGGAAAGCTCCCGGCTTCCCATCGCCTTTTCCTTCTTTAGAAAGGTGAAGAGCCCTGCATTCAGCTGCTCCTATCCCACAAAACGGATCGTGGAAGGAAAACTTCTCCCTCTTCCTTCCATCCTGTGTCAGTTTATTGACAAAGAAACAGGTCTGAATTGGAATGAGAGCCTATTTACATCTGCTACACTGGAGGAATTGTTTGGCATCTCTTCATCCTTAGGCAAAGATAATATTGGAGTCTTTGCCAGGAAGGAGCCGAGTTTGGAATATTATTTTAGCTGTGAGTAGGATTCAGCTTCAGTGGCCATTCATTCTGCAGGGGGTAAGAGAGTGCTGCTGTCACTGCAGCTTCCCTGCAGTGGGAATTGTGCCCCCATTGCCACCTGAGGAATCCCTCATCCCTCATGTGCTGAGGGCACTGGGGCAGGGCTGCAGCTCATTTCTTCTGCCGGTTCCTCCTCCCAGGAGCTCTTCCCTTGGTCCTTCAGCTTCCAAACAAAACCCTTGCTGTGGGTTTTTGCCCATTTTCCTTTTCCTTTCATGGCCTATCAGCTCTGTCAAACAAATACAAATCCCTGGAGCTCGGGAAGCACGTCCATTTCCAGACATCCACGATCCCAAGCCCAGGCTTTGAGCTCCCCACAGCCTCCGTGGGGCACAGCACTTCCCAGTCCCACGGTGCTCCCTGCAGCCAACATTCCCTGGAGAGCTTGGCAGCAGGAGTGAGGATTTTACAGCTGAAGATTCAGCTGGGATTTATCCTTTACATTCAAAGGTTTATCAAGGATCACCTCCAGCATCCCTCCCCTGGGATGGGCTGGGGATCCACAGCACAAAATTACTGCGGGGGTCCAGATGAGGGATGGGAGAGGTGGCATGTCCTGAACCTCCTGGAGATCCTGGTGTGGGCAGGACATTCCCTGGAAGGGCTGGACAACAGCTCCAGCACAGGAGGAGGATGTGGAAGTTCTGCAGGACATCCAGGGCTGCTCATGTGACAAATCCAGGCTGAAGCTGCCACCTTGGCACATCCTTCCAGTCCTTCCTTTCCAGGGAAAGGTCCTGGCTGTGAGCTCTTAGAGGGAAAATCTCAGTGAGCTCCCAGGGAGGATTTGACTCCTAAACAACATAAACACAACTAAACGTGGGGAAAACCAGGTGGATCGAGGCCTCCTGCCTTTGGTCCCAGCCCTTCAGAGATTCCAGATTCTCCTTTGAAATCACTGGATGCAAATTTGATACGTGTGCTGAAAGGGGAAGAATTACAGCTTTCACATTCATGCACAATTTACCTTTCTATTTTCCTTTATTATCTGGGGGATATGGGGTAAATCAAGCTCCCCTGATGGGGCTCAGGGTTCTGATTCGATTTGTGGGGTCCCGTTAGTAGCAGGGCAGTAAATTACCGCTACTTTGTTTGAAAATTTTTTTAGCCACACTACATTAGCTCCTTTTGTTTGCTTTTCCACTGGCGGAGTGCACGTTTTTATTTGAGAATTTGTGTTTCTTGAATGTCTCATTTATAAATAATACAGGGTGTGAAATTCGAAGGTCACAGAACTCGGCCTGAAAATGAAACCACCCCGAATAACTTTGGGCTTTCACGGCAAAAATCTTTCACAAAAAGCTTCGCTTACATGGGATTTTTTATATAATCTGAGTGTGTGCAGTGAATATTGACCATTATACATAAGGTAATATATAAAAACCTTTTCCTGGCTCATCCAGCTATCTTTGTTTATTTGAAGGATTGATAGATCAGAGGGTCAAGGGACGTGTTTTATTGTACGTTTCTGTTCCAAATTTCCTGACATTTTTGGTTGAAAAAAAAATAAAAATAGGCCTTTAAAAGGCACAGAAAGGGCTAATAAGAACCAGATCCTAAAGTGATGCTATGTCAAAATGTCAGAAATAACAGCTTTTCTTTGACTCCACGGCATTAATCTTGAGGCACATACCTTTCCATACGCCCTCCCTTTAATGCTCGAGTTTTTCTTTGTGGCTCTTTACTGCAGAGCAGCTTCTAAAGTGACAACAAAATCCCTTGATGGTTTTCAGTAGTTGGCTTTATAGCTGGATGTGGACATTTGTTTACCTATTCCAAATCACTTTTTTTTTTTTGGTGATAAAGTTTAGAGGTTTCCTACTTGGGCTATAAAACTGGTTC